GCGTAACCGGATTTTATACTCCCGACAGACGTCACTTCAGCTGTGAACGCTCGTAACGCTGAAAAAAATCTCAGTTTCGTGAAATATTTAGTAAGGTTGTTTGAGACTTACATGTTCAGAAGGATCATACAGGCTAGATTTTATCCCTTAGCTGTAAGCACAGACAGATTATCGGATGCGAGTAGAAGTGGGGCTTGAAATTTATTAAAAGAGGCAATATATAAATATGTATATAAACATACATATACAGGATCAACTAATTATAATTACCTAACAAAAATTGGCTCAAAACTGGAGAAAAGAAATAGAATTTTACAAACAAACTTTTTTGGGCATTTTTTTCAAGAACCAAACAGATCTTCAAAATTTTTTTGAATTTTTATAGAAAATATCTCTTTATTCGAGCTAGCAGATCTTTCATGAATAAGAAGCAAGTTCAACAAACTCATCTTGAGGCAAAAGTACTCAACTCCTAAGTCGGCTATTCCCTGTTTGACTCAGTGAGCCACTTATATGTGTACTCTAAGAGTAGTACTGGTTGGAAGATAACTAACATCGTTGATATGGCGCATCCACTAGGCGATATTTGATCCGCGGCCCACGATGCGGCCGTTCTGACCAGGGATTTGTGCGCAGTTCGATTAACAACCAATCCGAGTCACTTTCGAAACGCATCCCAATCAAGCTGTCACGAGTAGTGCACGGGATCCTGAAAATGGGTTTTTTAAGCTTCTAGTATTTTAGGAGCTAAAAGGACCTCGTTATCATTAACAATACAGTACATTATCTTGAGCAAACCCCAGAAATGCACAAAGGTTGTAAAGGTGAGAAAGAATGCATTCAGAACTCCTTCCGTATTCGTTTCCTATGACCGAGACCAGCTGGCTACCCTACTTGTGATACGTAGTGCCCTCACCCAGATAGCTGGTATCCTGATCTAGGAGATAAATGCTGAAGTGCTCCAAAGTCAAAAACAACTGAACCATTTTAAACTTTCTAACTGCTATTCTTCAGTGAGAGTCAAAATTCAAGCCCTTCTTCCAGTG